CGGCAGGGAACCACTTTTTAGTCATAAATCAGAGCTACTGTTTTTAAAAGATATTCGTAGTTTTCATCTCATACACCCAGGCATTCCGTATCACGACCTCTCTAGAGACGTTTTCGCTGTGGTGCCTACGTTGAAAACCACTTGCTTCGCGGCCCTTATACACAAGTGCGCTGATGAGGCACTTGTGCTTGTGCCAAAATATTTTACACATGCTTTTAATATCAAAACTTTTTGTCACCCATTTTTGCTATACATATCATGCCACTGCCATAATTTTAATACTTATGTTTTTACCCGCGTTAGCGCGAGAAATTGTAAGGCCCCTATACAGCCATGCGCCATATCATTGTCCATATCTCTAGTCCCTGAAATGGCGCTCTTTGGCCATCAATCGCCCGTTGCGCCATAAAACGCCACACATCATCATGACTTCTATGAAAAGCCGTCTCTAGAAGTCGGATGATTGCTGCGACCGTCGTATCGGCGTGTAGAGGGGACCACAGCAAACAAAAAGTGTGAAACATGACGTCACAACAGGAAGTGGTAGTGATGTCGGGCATTGGCCCTACACATGGAGCAATATTGAAATTTCTCTCAAATGCTGACGTCTCACATGTCTCTTGATAAATACGCGATTTTATTTTATTGCCCCTTTCTGGCTCGCCAATCGCGTGCGCGAGAAAAGAGGAAGAACATCAAGAAATAATGAAGAAGTTGTCGTTTTATAAGCCAAATGGTGTACTTGCAATCAACAGCAACACTTTGGAAGTGGTAAATTGTGATGCCACTCTTCACGAGCGCAATATTTCGAAGACTCACGTTGCCGAACAGTAGAAAACTACTGCAGCGAGACAAAAGCCTCGAGAATGTCACTTTGTAAAGCTTAGAGGACGGTGTTTCGTTGCTTAAGCCTGTCGCATATACCGTCACGAAAGTTGAAGGCACGCCGGCTGTGCGTCAGTGAAGGCAGTCGGCAGTCCCAGGAATGGCTACCTACACATTCTGCTAGCTAGTTCATCTTTGAAATCTCACATCAGGAACAGCCCATAAGTAGATAAAGAACTGTGGAAGGTATTCACGAAACCACCACGCAAATGTGATCGATACGTCACTTACCCAGTTATGCGCCGAACTAAACACAAGCCCTGTTATCAGACTGCCTGCATCCGTAAATACCCTCTCCACCACATGGCGCTGACCACAAAATTGAGGCAATCAACCATTTAGCATGGAACCACCTCATGGCGGAGCGACGGAACAGTTCATTGCTGTGCTACCTACAGTGCCGCGACGAGGTGTCGAGGCCACCGTATGAGGCCTCGGTGATTAGCAATGGCGCCTTTGAGCAACATGCCATTGGCGGATCTAATCTCGGCAGCCGTGGTCGATAACCTCAGCACCATGGTGCACGTCGTGGTAGGCGGCGAAGTAATGCAGTTATTCGCCGCTCCGCAACGCGTTGCACGGCCCGCAAACTTTTGCTGTTCAAAGTACGTTTCAACGTTTCGGTACTAAATTAGCAAACGCGTGCGTTACACAAGTAAATCGCAAATTTTTGGCCATCGCCATCTTCAGGATTGTCTCGCCTTTTATTGTATCTATCGAGAGCTAAGACGCGCGTATGCCTATTCGCAGTTTCTGTAAAGGGAAGGCAACCGTCAACAAGTATTCGACGACACGTAATAAAATAGGCCAAATGCACTGGGAGCGAGAACCGATCGGAATGGAATGATTGTACTGAACAGGCAAAAATGGCCGTGTTCATTCGTACCTTGTACAATTAGCTCTCTAATACTGATCATAAGATCAACAGTCAACTAAATTGATACGATATATATTTGTTCGCTCGAGCGCTATATATATATCTATACCCAATTTTAACGCATTTTTGGCGCTTCAGAATGGACGTCGGAGGGCTTGCCTCGAACTCGACGTCGCGCGATGCTTGCTGTGCTCGCGAGTTTTATGCCCTGAAATAAAAAAAAAAACATCATTAGTGTAATGCTGGCTGTTTCATGTTAACGACCTTCCTACTTTCTATAAAGTGTGGATTGGCCGAAGAAACTTTCTGGGCGCATGATTTTGCAGGAATCCGTCCCTAGACGCAGGCGAAAGAGGGATGCCTGCTGGGATGGATGGATGGATGGATGGATGGATGGATGGATGGATGGATGGATATGGCTGTACCCTTTAGATCGGGCGGTGGCTAGCGCCACCAAGCCGTAATACCTAATGAACCAAAAACTATATTTATTTTTTTCCTTAAAAAGTGAGTTTGAGGATTCGTACTTTGCAGTGAAGAGTTTAATTTTCCCTCGTGTCTTGACTTTAGCCACCAATCAGATAACCTCCTTCTAGTTAAGTCTACCCGCTTTAAGTCTATTTTGCCCTCCCGTTCCCTAAACCCCAGTGCTTTGAAAAACTCTCCGCCATCATCCTGAACTATAGGGTGAAGCCCTTTACAAAACATTATCAAGTGTTCGGCAGTTTCTTCTTCCACTCCACACGCACTGCAAACTGTGTCTACCCCTTCGTATTTGGCCCGATATGTCTTGGTTCGCAGTACTCCCGTCCTGGCCTCAAACAGTAGAGAACTACCCCAAGTATTATCATAGATCCTTTCCTTGGCAATTTCCTGCTCAAAAGTTCGATAGATCTCTAGTGCGGACTTCTTAATCATGCCCATTCTCCACATGTCAGTTTCCGTTTCCTTCACTTTCTTCTTAACCGATAGTTCTTTTTGGTTTGGCCACCTGCTGTTTTCTAAGTATTTACCAGTCAACTTCCTGGTTCGCTTCCTCCATTTTGTATCCACAGAGGGGCTTAGGGGGCTTAGGGGGCTTAGGGGGCCTATGAATATTAGCGCCACCTGGCAGTGTCTGATGCCTGTTTCCATGTCGCCAAAATTGCTGCGAACACAGCGACAGGTTATCATCTCGGCTCTTTGATAAAGCGAACGGGAAGGAAACGTGCACTGTCGAAGCGTGTGAACACCGAATAGGTGACCGGTAAAATAGGTGACCCCAGGGAACTGTGGTGTACGACGGCTTCCGGTTCGACGCACCACGCTGGTTAGCAGCGGCACGGGTGCAATTTTGTAGCGTTAGCTTCAGTGGCCTCGCTGAGCCAATATCGCGTGGCACTGGTCTGCGCATGCGCAATGATACTCTGCCGCCGCCACGCACGGCTCGCCGCCGGTGTGCGCGCAAATCGATGGGCTGCGAAGACAATCAGCGGTGTCACGCACCGGAGCCGGCGCCTCCCTCGCACTCGGCCGTGGCCGCGCGCGTTTCGCCGCCGCCGGTGTGCGCTTTCCAGAGGAGTGCCGTCATAGCTTCGGTGGACATATGGACGCCGACGCGCGCGCCTTCTCTGTGCAGTCGCCATCTGACACTGCGCTGGAGCCGCTTGATAGCACCTCTGACTGGCGTTTGCCACAGCAGTATAGCCATGAATAAGGAAAGTGCAAATGCTGCTCAACGGTGCAGTAAAGCGGAGAAGCTTAACTCATCGTATCTCGAAGTAATTGCCCGGCAAAATAAATATACATGTGCCACATAATACGTATACCGTGTGTGTGTCATTGGAACAGCTCTAAGCATGATATCTGGAAAGCTAAGAATAATAAGCTGAACCTTTGCTAACGCTATGTATATCCTGGCATAGCTGAGCTAAGCCACTGCTATTTTTGTACCACTCCGTTTAAAAAAGCACCTCTCCATGCAATGCCAGTGCTTCAGAAGTTGCTTTTTTTCTGGCAACCTTGACTGCGACAATGACAAGGTACGAAAGCCACAATGACAAGCTATGAAAGCCATAAACAGTTAGAAAACTTTTTTATCGCCCCAAAATGATCTGCAATGCTTTTATGCTGCTCGGGGGTACTGTCAGTTTGGCTAGCAGATTAGTCGATAAACAAGACAATTTTCATTGTATGATACGTTTCTGCAGATGAAAAATCACCATCTTAAAGATATCAGGGGTTGGGATGACTGTAGCGGTGTGCTAAGACTTCATTTCAAGATCACTGCTTTTCGACCGGCATGAAGCGCAGCACTTATCGAGTGCGTTGAGATATCTTTTTTTAGCCCTCAGCGTGCTATAATACGCATTTCTTAGTTGAACGCTGATCTTGGTAAAGCTGCGTGGCACGGCGGCAAATAAACAATACAGTCAGACATAGATGGCGCCAAAGAATCGAAACCCTGCGCTTGTTTAACGCACTTCTTCCTTTGTGTGCCGTCCTGTCGCACAGTTTGATAAACGCAAACGGACACGTCCAGTGCTTCGTGTAAACCTATTCTTGAGTGAAGGTTTTGCGTTTTTTTTGTCCTATATGTGGAAACTATGCCTGGCGCTCATCTCATATGGCAGATAGATTTCACCCGTGCGTTCCCATAATATCTTTGCTAGGCACTCCTGCGTGATAATTTATTTTTCGACTTAGTACTAGCTTCAAATTAATGCGTAAGCTTTTTGTTAGTGTGGAATACACACGTACCTGTGATAAGATGGTCTTCGCACACTCTGGCTCTTATGTGTGGTACCCAAAAGCTACCTGTCGCTGTGGCTCTCTTCACAGCTGCGGCGCACCTCATTTTTTTTCGTTCCATGTGAATAGACACACGCGTTTGCCTTTCACACTCGAGTTGCAGCAGCTGACGTCTGAACAACCGACCATAGTATAGCAGGTTAAAGATAAACAGGCGAGAGTGCGTGCAAATCTCGAATAATCTGAGGCTTACGACGTAGCACCTTGCCGTCGTCTATTCTCCTCGAACCGGAAGCCGGCAGCAGACGGTCCTCCCTCGCTCTTTCACTGGTAACCTATTGCGAGCTGTACGACTCGATTTGCAGTCAATAAAAGCTGCATGCTCGCGCTCAGTCACGTGCGAAATCAAAAGGTATGCGCTACCTCCTTGCTAACAGTGGCCCGAGCATAGTGTACTGCAACTAATGCTACCTTATCACGCACATGTGTTACCTTCGCTTGTTTGCAGAGAAGCTGAAGTGGCTTGTTCCTCTCGATTGTACCACGAAGCGAACCCTGTTCGGCCTTGTAGCAAGGAGCCATGGCGACGGCCTCTTACCAAGACACCGGTCGCAGCGTGCTGGTGGCGGCGGCTTGCAGCTGGTGCCTTTTCTGGACCATGATTGTGAACCGCAGCGGCGGCATCGTGTTCGTCACGATGATCTCTGAGATGGGCGCCTCACGCCAGGCTGCTTCATGGCCTTTCTCGCTCCTGGGCGCCGTCTCCAACATATTCGGTGAGCTAGCTCGGCTTTTGTAAACTCTTCACTGAATTGTAGGCCCGGTGTTCGTGAACTTGAGCGCCGCAGTGGCACCTAAATTTCTTTCTTACCCTATTGGGAAACTGGTAAGAGCAGCTTCGTGTTCGCGTGCTTTATATTCACCATTGTAAATAAATCATGCATGCCACTGAATGAACACAGGCAATAAAGCTCTCAAGTAGAAATGCACTTGCATCCATCACTGATGCATAATTTTACGCATTTTGCTTTTTTCGTAATATTATGTGCCCCGTATTTCCACAATACATTTCATTAGACTAAGAGCGCAAAGAAGATGTATTTTCTAACCATATTTGTGAAAGTGCCTCGTTAGCGTAAGCTTTAGACGATATTGTCAAAGCGTCGTGACGTGGACGAAGAAATCAGATTGTAATTCCGACAAGAAACTCTAATCGGCCAAACTTATGGCCGATTCGGTCCAATCGGTGCGATGCCCACTGTCACAGATAGCACCGATGAAAGCGTCTGCCGTCGATAAACTGAAAAACGGCGAAGCGCGTCGGCATTTATGCACTTGACATCGAATACTGTAGCGTTATTTCGAGCGGAGATGTAGGTTCCCGACGGAAGTCTGTTGCTCGTAAAATGCAGCTGCTATGGGTTGTCTAGCACGCAGCAAGGTTTCTTGTAGGGGTGGCTAAAGAATGCATTGAAAGTTGTGTATTCTGCCTCTTTATGTTCTTGCTATTCATCAACAGAACATTCATGCACTGTGAAGTAAAACAGAGTATGTTGTTGAGTGTTTTACATGTAAATAAATTGTACGGAAGACGTGTGAAATAAGACTTTTTCTTCCGCAATTGTGCACCGGCGCGTGGAAAAGAGAAATAATTAATGTATTCTTAGCATTGAAAGAGAGTGAAACCAACTCACATGCGATGAAATTTTTTTCCTTAGTGCATCTCTGCGTCTCGCAGGATCGAATCCCGGCTGTGGCGACTGCATTTTCGTTGATGGCGGAAATGTTGTAGGCCCGTGTACTCAGATTTGGGTGCACGTTAAAAAACACCAAGTGATCAAAACTTCCAGTGCCCTCCACCACGGCGTCTCTCATACTCAAATAGTGATTTTGGACGTTAAACCCCACAAATCAATCAATCAATGCACCTCTGCGTCGATTCGCTTTTTCACTTAGCTTTACTTTCCCTGTTCTCTAGCAGGTCTCTTTCTCTACGTTTTGTTTTAAATTTTCCTCGAGCATGTCAAACGTTTGCGCACCAATTTGTGCTTTTTTTCTTTTTTCTGGAAGCTCGCCATCCTTGCGTACAGCAGTCAGAATAGGCTCAAGTCTCTGCAGGGGCGCCTGCGCGAGTAGGCGTTTGGTGTGTAGCGACCCCACGGACCCGAGCTAACGGAGGAGTTTTGACTCCCTCCCACGCCTAGCCGTGCGAGGCTTTGCCGTGTCCGGGAAAAAGGGGATCCTGGGGGTTGAGCCAATGCTGGGTGATTGGACCTTTAAGGCTCCCCAGTGGCGACAACACACCCCTTTGGCCCCGGCTTCACGTAGACGGCACCCCTGGGCTGACCCACCCAGCGGAAACCGGCAGTCGCCTTTTCCTGTCTCTCCCTGTCTTAATCTTCGTCTTTCACTCTCACTTTCAATCTTTCCTGTTATTTCCTCTCTTCAATTTACTTCTGTTTTTCCTGGCGGCAAGGTTTAACCTTGTGCGGCTATCCAAACTAGGGTAAAACATATTGGGTTATTGTAACTGCGTACTGCTCGCGTTGCGCAGACATGCCCACATGCTGTGCCACGTCTCCTTGTTGGACTCCGTAATGGGTGGTTGGCGCCATTACCGAAAAATCCACAATTTCCCATGGAGTCCTCGACCCCCTCTCTAACTGATCGTGCCTCGAAAAGGGTACGCACCGACGCAACTTCACTACTTTGGCCCTAAACAGAGAAACTTTCCCAAAATACTATGTCCTCCACTCCGAACAATCATCTACAAAAGCTTGAGCAATCTCACCCTTCCTTGTGGCCAAGTGCTTGAGAGAGATCATTGGAACCGGTTATAAGGCCACGAAGATGGCAAGTGGAGATCTGCTTCTCGAACTGAAAGACAAGGAACAGTACAATAAACTCTCGCACCTTGTAGCCTTTGGTAACATCCCCGTTTCTGTGAGCGCACACCGTACCATGAATACAGTGAAAGGCGTGGTATCGGACGAAGATCTGATGACACTGAGTGAAGAAGAGCTTTTTGATGGATGGAAGGACCAAGGTGTAATACATGTCCAGCGCATCAAAATCAGACGTAACAACAACGAAATAGCAACAAAGCACTTGATACTCACCTTCAACTCAACCACTTTACCTGAGACTCTCGAAACTGGCTATGTAAAACTCCATGTCCGACCCTTCATTCCAAACCCGAGGTGTTGTTTCAAATGCCAGCGATTTGGTCATGCATCGCAGAGCTTCCGAGGGCAGCTGATGTGTGCTAAGTGTTGCACAACCGGCCACAGTGCTGATGAATGTAGTCATGATGAGGTCCTCTGTGCTAACTGCGAAGGTAGTCACCCCGCATACTCCAGAGCGTGCCCAGCCTGGAAAAAAGAAAACGAAATAATAACTATAAAAGTTAAGGAAAATATCACATTCAGGGAAGCAAGACAGCGGATTGTGTCATGATTGGCACTAAAAACACCTTTCGCCGAAGTGGTGCAACGAGGGGCGGCACCACAAAGGCCCTTGGCAGTTGCCCGGTCCCCGCCTAGCGTGCTTAGGCCAACGCCACAAGCCCCTACGGTGGGAGCAGCCAGCGCTGCCCTGCCCACATTCAACCTGTCCACACCAGTGACCTGACCTCTACAAGCTCTGGCAGCAGCCAGGGCAATCACGAGGCCAAGGGGGCTTCATCAACCCCCAGCTCGGCGGGGACAAAGACTTGGTCGATCGAGGCGAAGTCTAAGCGACGCACAGATCGCTCTTTAGAGCGGGTGTCCAGTGCCTCGCAAGAGGCTATGGACACCAGTTCAAGCCAAACGGCGCAGGAAGTGCCGAAGGAGCAGCGAGCTTCTCTCGACCGCCCCAAAAAGGACAAAACGCCAATTACAGGGCCTGACAAAGGCTCTGTAAAATGAGATAATCTCCGTCTTCTCTGCACACAGCACTTTTACTTTTTTTCTACAATGAACAAAATCATACAGTGGAACGTAAGGGAATACTTAGAAATTCAGACGACGTCCAAGAACTTCTGAGTAATTTTAGCGCGAAAGTGCTATGTGTGCATGAAACGCACTTAACTACCAAGCACAAGGACTTCCTACGGCAATATAGTATTTTCCGAAAAGACCGGGAGGATGCTGTCGTACCATCTGGCAGTGTGGCCATCATAGCTGATCGAAGTATAGCATGCCAGCTTTTGAAGCTCCAAACGGCCCTTGAGGCAGTTGCCATTCGAGTTGTACTTTTTAATAAAGTCACTACCAGGTGTTATGTGTACATACCATCGCATCAACAGCTACAAAAACGTGATCTAGAATAATTATAATATAAGCTACCAGAGCCGTTTCTCGTTCCAGGTGATTTTAATGCACACAATGTCCTGTGGGGCGATGCTCACTGTGATGCACGAGGACGTCTCATTGAGCAGCTTCTTTTTTTTCTAGTTTATGTCTTTTAATTATAAAGGAGCCTTCGTATTTTAGCCTTGCAAACAACACGTACTCCTCCATAGATCTTAACATTTCATCACCGTCTCTTTTACCTGTTTTTAATTCTTAAAAACCCTTATGGGAGTGACCACTTCCCAATAATCCTGAGTGCGCCGAACAAAGGTCCACTACCCCCGCAAGTTCCTCGATGGAAGATTCACTCAGCTGATTGGTAAGGGTAAAGAACATTTACACACATGACATGGAGTGAGCTTTTTGCCCTGACCACAGATGACGCTGTCACGTATTTTACAGCTTTTATACTTGATGCCACATCTAAATGTATTGCCAAAACAAGCGGCATGCCTTCTAAACGGTGAGTCCCATGGTGGAATCACGCATGCAGGAAAGCACGGACCACTCAGAACAAAGCATGGGCGTTGGTTCGCGATTCCCCAACAGCAGAAAACCTGGAAAATTTCAATCGGGTCAAATCGCAGGCAAGGACAACGCGTCGACAAGCTAGACGACAGAGCTGGACAAAGTTTATATTGAGTATCAACTCATACACAGATGAGCAAAAAGTGTGGAATAAGGTAAAGAAAATTAAGGGCCAACAAACGTATTCTCTTCCACTGGTAAATAGCCTCGGGCAAAGCTTGGAGGACTAAGCCAACTTTCAGGCACACATTTCGAATCCATATCAAGCTCCTCACACTACTCCGAATCCTTCCAGAAATACAAGGCACGAATAGAAAAACAAAAGTTAGAAAGAAAATCCGCAAGAAATGAGGCCTATAATGCACAATTCTGCTTAGCAGAACTGCCAACAGCACTCAGCTGCTGTAATACAACTAACCCAGGTTCTGACAACTAATGTACGCGATGCTGAAGGAACTACCCTCCGAAACGAAAAAACCCTCCCATCTCAATATAATCACATATGGTTTTCAGGTGTGATTTCCTCCTCCTGGAAGGAGGCTGTTATAATTCCAATCTTGAAGCAGGGAAAGGATCCCTCTACTGTATCAAGTTACAGACCTATAGCGTTAACAAGCTGCTTCTGCAAACTATTTGAAAAATGATTAATTGCCGCTTACTCCACTACTTAGAAACAAACAAATTGTTCGACCCATACCAGTGCGGGTTTAGAGAGGGCCGATCTACCACCGATCATCTTATACGTATCGTGGCACACATACGTGAGGCTTTTGTTCATAATCAGTTTTCCTATCTGTGTTCTTCGACATGGAGAAGGCCTACGATACAACGTGGAGGTTTGGAATATTGAGAGACCTCTCACACATAGGTATACACGGTAATATGTTCAGTGTCATTGAAAGCTATCTGTCTGA